TCCTTCGCTCGGTGGGATCTTGGCCACCTGCTATCTGCCCATTCTTCACTTTTTTCTTGCTTCTGCCGCCGTCGGTGATACGAACACATATTCTAAAAAGTGGTTTTCTAGGTTGCGATGATTATTGACGCGGCTGTGATGTTTGTTTGTGTTTACTGGAAGCTTTTGTGTATTGCTTGCCCGCCATCTCGCCACATATACCGCCCCCTGCCCCCTCACCTTTTCATTTTGCAATACATTCCCGTGTGCCTACACACAAGGTTTCCTTTGGCTGAAACCCTATTGCAAAGGTCTGTTGGCCGGAGAAGCGCACCTTCGTGTACGATTAACTGTGGGCTGTGTGAATTGGCTGTGCGTTGAACTCTTGTAATAGACGAACCGTGAAGAGAGAGATAGAATAGACTTTTGAAAGCATCGGTTTGGATAGCCAGCCAAAGCAGGCGATTCCACGTAACCAAGGCGACACCTGCCCGAATCTCTACGCTACGATTTTCTAAGTTATTTTTTAGCAATAAGGCTCTTTAGCTTAAACAACAAGAAAAGATCATTCGCCTGAACAATCACCCTTGGAAAAAAGGCCTGCTTATTCACTAACTAAATACTAACAGTTAACTTATCACGAAAAGTTTACTTGTCACTTGTCTCTTCGTCATAATTAAAGGCGATAAAATGCTGATCAGATAAACTGGAAGGCTTGCCAAGAATTTTAGGAATAGTGCTGACCCGAGCAATTATTACATTATAGAATTTTCTGTTAACAGGCGTTTATATGTGCCTGTACATTGTCACATAAAGATAATTGAAATAAAGAAGCATACCCAAAATAATAGGCGATATGCAATTGTCCAAGTAGATTATTTCGTGGTCATTGATTACTTCATGTAACTACCTGGCAAGCACGCATGACAGCAACATACCGAGAGGCATGAACGAATCCCCAACGAGGTCATCCACGCAAACGCGCACATAGAATATCAAGACTTCGCCGGTATCGCATACTGTGGCAGCCGTTTGAAGGCTATTCATGTTCCTATTTTAAAATGGCACACTGTGTACTGCTTGGCAGCTAAGGAATTAAAGGTCCCTTCAAACTTTGTTTTGAGTGACCATGAAATTATTTCACTGGAAGAGCTTATTGCCTCACAAATGCAACGCCAGAAAAAAAGTGTAAGAATCCCTCCAGTCCGAGTGGAGTCACAAAGATTTGTCACACGCTCCAATCGCATTCTCTCTTCTCTCGTCCTGACAAAAGCGCTAGAATCTAAGCAGGGAGGGATCGCAGAGGCAAACAAAAAAACGACACGTGCGCCTCGTGGCCTTCAGCACATTTTTTCTTTACACACGCGGCTTTATCAGTGCGATTGCACGCGCACGCTTGCACAAGTGACAGCGTCGCGTGGCGATCTTTGTAACGACCGAGCACGCCATCTTCAAATCAGCCAATGGCTTATAGATTGGCATTCTAAGAGGGATTTTTAGTGTCTTCCGCCATTTGTTGAGTGAAGAGAGAGCAATTTTCACGTGAATTTGATTATTTATTGTGATTTCTAGGAAGCGTGCTGTGCTATAACATTTGGATCGCGCGTTCTAGGGAGCCTCTACTACCAATCAGCAGCGTTTTCTGACCATGCTCAAAAAGTTTTGCAGAGCCGCTTTAAGAAAATAATGGAAGCTTTGTAGACATCATCGTCTGCCCTTCTATATATGTGTCATCACTTGGCACAAAATTTTATGTCGAACTAATCGACAAAGTTAAGATTGATTTAAACTTTTTCTTAAGAGTGTCACATAACTGCAAGACACACGGTGATGTTTACGACAGATCCGGCAACATACGAGGCTTAGTAATTACCTACCTAAAAAAACGAAGAAAGCATTTCTGGTTAGAAACAGTAAAAGTTTAAAGCTGTACTCTCTGCTAACTAAAGAGATGCCATGTAGGTAGTAAAATACACTCAAAACAAGTAAATGCACGGTTTGCCCAATATTCGCGAACTTTTTTTACATTGTGCTTACCATGCTTATACGATACGTAGGAGGACAACTGCCCCTATGGAAACTAGTAGGGTGGTTGCATGGCACGAGATTAGTCACTAAGCTATACCCTTCTTTAACTATGGTAACAAGTACAGCGTCATTGTGCTGTTCTTATGCATCTAGTTACATTAGCTTTATGTTGTTAATACATTCTTAGCTCGATAAAGCTATGAAGAAAACCTCTCCTAAGTTGGGGAATTGCAGGAATGAAATTGACCTACCTGTCCGTTGCCGCGATTGTCAGTGGGCTATATTTCCTTATTCCGAGGGATCGAAAAGAATGTAGTAACAACAAGTCGAAATCCTCCGGAATGAAATTGTTATAGAATGAAGGTGCCCATTCCGCAACACTGATGGAGGCTCGGGTGAATTCGCCTTTCATTGAGAAATGCCGCTACCTTTAAAGTTGTACCCAAATATAGAGATCTCTTAATATTGCAACTAAGAAACACACTTGCCTTCCCGAGTGATTTTAGAGGCCTCTTTCATATTCTTTCATAGCCGATACGGCTTACCTTAATGATGTTGACGCAATGCAACTTGATTTTCTTGTCAGCTGCCGAGTCCACAGTGAACGCTTTGCCATCATTGTGAGGCGTCAGATCAGTTTTTCTCTGCCTTGTAGTTTAGTGGACCTTTAAGCACAGGTGCAGTAGATTAAAGAACCCTCAAAGTATCTTAAAGAGGCCCTGCAACATTTTGTTCAAGTAATCATAGGGTGTAATCAGAAGGATGTAATTGTCTCATGAATTCAGTGCCAGTAAAATTTCAAGAATCGGTCAAGTACGAGCCCAGTTACAGTTCTGTCGCATGCTGCAACCGCTCCCTTCTCTCGTCCCAACTAAAGCGCTGAAAGTTAAGCAGTCAGGGATGGTAGGGCAAAGAAAATACGTCACGCGTGCGTCGTCACTACGAGTGCATTTTTCTTTTTTTCTTCGAATACATGCTTTTTTGGTGTTACTCCGCGTGCACGCGTGGACAAGCAGCGGCTTCCCGCAGCGATTCCTGTAACGACCAAGAGCTCCATGTTCAAATTAGCCAATGGGTGACAGAAGGCCTTTTACGAGTGGTTTTTGAGCGTCTTTCGTCATTCGTCGAGAAAAGAGAACGCATTTTTTAGTTGACTTTGATAGCTTATTGCGAATTCTGGGCGGCGGGCCGCCCTATAATATTTGGCTCGCGTGTTCTCGGGAGCCTCTACTACCAATCGGCAGCGTGCTCCGTAAGTGTTGGAGAGCCCCTTCAACGCAACCAGAAATCACTTCCCCGGCGCCGTCACCACAAGCCATGTTATGCTCACGTCGAAGTGCAACTTTTTGAATTAGGCACAAGATCGACCTTCCTAGTCTGGCTTTGGAAGAAGTACAGCATTGGAATACACCTAATTTTTGTGTTGACGGAAGACAAATGTTCACGGGTGGCAATATGACTCACATCTGTTTCACTGGTGATGTCACTGGTCTCATAAAATCAGGAATATTGAATGCCATACCGATAGAGTAACGCAGGGAAAACAGTTGCGCATTAGCAGGGTAGTTCTAAATACGGTAGTTCTAGAATCGGGTACAAGAAACTTAGCATTTATTTCCTTTGCACATCCATCATACGCTAGTCACTTGGTTAGGAGGGTTATATATTCGATGTTCGCCGCGTGTGAACCAATGCAAATGCTGTCACAGCCAATCTTATTGCCTTGAAGCAGACAGCACTGTTGTTTGGACTCCCAGCCTTCAATGCTCCAATATTCTTGCTGTTGGGAACAACGAAGGCCTAAGAGCACGAGTGCAATAGCTGACTTCCTGGAACTTCAGCAGATCGTCACAATAAATAATTAAATAGTCAAAGTGAAGAAAGTACAGTTTGGTTAAGGGGGCTGTATAAATTGTTTGTGGCGTATGGCATAAATATCTGAAAAAAAAGTGGACAAGGGAGCGGCCGGCGTGGTGATTGAGTTGGTCATATATAGGACGCATCATATGCTAACGTTGAAGGTTCGAACACTATGATTGGCAAGAGATTTCTTATTTACTCACTTAAGCTTCTCAGAATTCATGTCTTTGCAACTGCTGAACATTTAAAAAACCGGAGAACGCTAGAGCTTCACCTTGACGAGTGGGACGCGATTGAGTAGTTTGCCACTATTGACATCCCCTTCTGAGTAATCGGTCTATCCTCGCTACCCTATATCAGAACGCCAACGGGCAGAGTTCCGATGTGTCCGTAACGTCACAGATCTTTCTTCTGTGAACCGGCGATGTACACCACTACACGTCAGTAAGGCGACACACGTTATTGCGTTGCTGCTGAAACTTCAATACATAAAAAACGCATCAGACAATACAACAATGAGGCAGAGCTTGTATCCGTCATCTCCTTGTCTTCTCAGCACTTTTTGCGCTGAAGATTTAACATTATCGAATAACAATTATGCCACTCCCGCATCGTGTTCAGTTGCACACTTTGTTGATGCTGATGTCGATAATGCTGATTAATAATGTATTGGTGCAATTAAGATGTCTTCACGATTGGTGTTATTCAGTGCTGCTTCCTTTTAGTGTTATTTCCGGTAAGCACACTGCTTAAACTGCATGATAAAATTGTCGGATTTTCCTTTCTGTTACAATTTCATCTAACTTATGGTGGGTTAAAATGAGACACAGGGCTAGGCGCAGCTTATTGACTTTGGCGACATTAGTAGTGAATACAAAAATTACTTTATTTCTCTTGTAGGGGGTCTGTCCTATGTAGGGCTGACGCAGAAGCCTAGCTAATGTTTCAGTTGCACATATTCGTACCATGCACAATTAACGTGCCCTATCCGTAGCTCGTCTCATTGTAGTTACACGGGTTCGGGCGAATAAGCCAACAGGCTAGGTCAACAAAATGACATATTCTGCTAGGCGTTAGCAATAGCGCGCAAATGTCGCGAGGAGATAGTACAGAAAACAAGGGTAGAAGCTTACTCCTTGGTCGTTGTCGTCCTCGGCTCACAAGGGGGGTTTGCTGGTCCGACCTCCTTCCTTGGTTCCTGGCCGGTGTAAGAGAGGCCGTGCGGCCGTCCGCACGCCAGTTTTGTCCCCCTCCCGGGTTTCCCTCTCCCTGACGAGAATACCTTTTTTCGCTGAGGGGGAGAAACCCGTTCCGCGCGACGAAAAAGAGGGGAATCCTCGAGCACCGGCTGTGTGGGTGTTCCAGCAAGTAGGCTTTCGCCCTGCCGTGAAAAGGAAAAGGAGGCTGGGCGCGCGTGCTCCCCCACACTCTTATTACAGCGTAGGTGCTGGTAGCTGTGTACATTCTATGTGCAAAAGTTGTCATTGCAACAACTTTCGCGTAGAAAAAATTACGCCGCTGGTGTCATTGTGTTCGGGACCCGTCAAAAAGGGAAAAACTTTCTTGGGTCAAATATTTGTATTCGTGCATGAAGCTACTTTGGCATCAGTGCAACAACTTACGTATGTATTTTGTTTCTTTATTTACTAGCTACATAAAACGAAAAGTTTAGTTCATTCGGTGAACCGCGCCAAAGCACAGGTATTTTTGAATTCGCGCATGTTGCTGGAGAAAAACGCGACAAAAAAAGTCAGACCTGCGCGAAACGCGCACCACAGTCACAGCGAAAGCTAGAAGAGGGGTCTTTCAATAGCTTTTCAAAACACTTTTTGTTTAATTGCGACAAGCACATTGTTGGGTGCCCACTACGCCATGAGTATTTATAATTTTGTATGTTAAGTCAGCATTCCCTTTGCTATCCTTGGTCATTCTTTGGAGAAGTTGTCTGCTACGCACTTGTTAGACATTTTGGGCAATTGTTTTATGCCATGGCTGGTGATGATGAAGAGTTATGATTGAAGTGCGTATGCGCCACAGTTAATAGGTGATCAAGGACAAGTTTTCTGATAGGTTGGAGCATTGGACGACCCTCTCGTTACGCAATTCGCATTGTGTGACGCCTGGCTGTTCCTTTGACGTTCTAAAACGCTTTGGTACTCATATTAGCGTGATTTCTTTCGCAACAGCAAGCCTGCCTAAGGCCAGTTTATAAAAGTGTTCTAAAGCACTGGCATGACTTAGTGGTAGAATACTGGGCTGGCGCGCAGGGGACCTGGTTTCAAATTTTCTTGTGTCAATGTTGTTTTTTATTTACTGAATTTTTTTCTTCGCCATTGGTTACGGACACCAGTGGCGACGGCAGCGATGGCGGCGGCGGACAATCACGGCACCGCGCATGGCACATGCTCCGATCTCACGACAGCTTTCGCTGTAAAAAGCATCAAAACGCCTTGGAGAATCTCTTAATAACTGAACCATTGAGTCATAGTAGTTATATACTATATTTTTTGAAGGATCAGAATGTACTGGAAAATATTGTATAGATATTCACAAGTGAAAAACTATTTCAAACAACCTTGACTGCTCATGAGGACAGGACTCACTTCATGCGGCTACATTGAGGCTGATCCACGTTCCCAAGGATGCCTTCAAGAGGTGCATAATAAACTGAAAAAATCTTCAAGAGAAAACGTTCTCAATCAAATGTTGCAATCGAATTTTAATTAGATTTTTTCATACCGAAATTTGAAAAACAAGCAACAGAAAATCCAAAATTCATTGCCTCACAATGCCGGGATGACGAAAGTGAAAACCACAAAATTCCCGAGCAGTTCTGCATCAAAACGAAGAAAGAGGCATAGAAGATTTGTTATGACATGTTTTGTATTCAATCATTGAACAATCTAATAGAGTGCAAGCGTTCAACAAAATACACCATTAACAAGAGTAAAGACTGGGGTGCTTGATTTACTATAAGTTTTGAAGCAAAACAGCAGCAACTTCCCTCTGGATTCATTGCGTGGAGTGCAAGGAGTGGCCTCCTGAAGACAGCATGGTGGTCCGTGGAGTGAATTTAGGGTTTTTCTACTCCAGAATCTGAGCGGTTGAAAATTTTTCACACTGTCTTTTCTCCCTAAACCCTGTTTCTCGTTTTGCCCCACAGCTTAGGGCAAAATGAGACACCTGGTGCATTTGGTATTTATTTTTAAAACACCCTTTTCAACTTTGCCAACATGTGCCGACATGCTCATATTTATGCCGCACGTAGCTTGTACCGAAAGGAAAGTTTATTCAATGAACTTTATTGGCATATAGTGAAATAAAAAAATCATTTACTATCTTCAAATATTCGTCACAACATAAAATTCACTTGTGCGCTGAAGTCTTGAGCTGGATTTGAACTCGAGCTGTAGTTTATTATGACCTATTATTTTGCGTATATCCGAAATTTTCGCAAATTTCAAACGTTATTTCTCTCTCACAACAAAAGTTCTGGCCACAGCAATAAAGCCAACACCGGCATTCCCAAGAAACAAGCTCAGAAATGCTGTTTCGCGAAAAAAACTACAAAACTACTTGCTATTCCTTGATCACTATTACTGTCTTTTTACTTAGTTATGCCTTGATCACCTTTGCTGTCCTTTCACTTGGTTAAATGTCGTGTAACAGGAAAAGGAGTCCCTCAAGCCATTCTCCTTGGTTTATCTGAAGCTAACGCGTATTATTACAAATACAAGCACAACGTTTATAAGAACCATAGTAATTCTATATATAGAGCAATCTAAAGAAAGCTGATGCAGTAAAATAGATAGATCTTTATTGTTTCTTCGTGTTCGGAATAGATAGTTTTTAATCGTAGTTGTACATTTGAAAGTTACTCATAGAAAAGCTTTCGGCATAGCTCCAAACAAGTTCTGATGAGAGCGTCGTCCAATGACAAGTTCCAACTGAAGAAGAGGTGTCTGCATATTTCAGAATCGGACGTACTTTAGTAAACAGGGGTCGAGGGCACAGCGTTTTGTTTGATAAGTGCGCTTTTCAAATGGCCAGCAAGCTTTACTAACGATAAGTTTCACATCTGTACTGGCTGAACTATTTTTCTTATGGAAATTTTTATCACAACTTGTGAATGCTTTTGTGAATATGGGCCGAGATACCTGTTTTCATATCAATTGAAAAGTGTTGCCTACCATAGCAGCATCTGGACGAGCAAATACGAAGATGTTGCTATGAATCGATTTGTGATTCCACAGAAAGCTTAAAGAAGGAGAAAATGAACGTTTATTTATTCAGGACATCGTAAATCTTTTGTGATTAACGAATTTGCTCTTACTGAGGATAGCGTCAATTTTACAACAAAAATGCAAAGGTGCAAAACTTTGTCACAACCCTCGGGCTATCAAGAACCTCTGTAGTAAACATACGCTCTGTGCCAGTATGCATTACAAGGTTAAACATATCAATGCGAAGTTCAGTGACACTGCAGTCAGGGCCAGATAAGGTGACAGTTACAAGTAATGAGGAAATCAGTAAACAAAAAATAAGATGATTATGTACATGCGGAATATCAATAAAAGTCTGCTGTATCTACAAGAACTGTGGAGAGACCCACCCATCTCCATATACAAAGAAAATATAGGAATGAACAGCGAAACAAAAAAATATTGCTTACCAAGTGTGTATTGACAATCGTATCAAAGATTTCAGCGAGTGCACCTCAGCAAAGGGTGGAATCTGTCGCCAATACACGTACTATAATGGTACCAGCCGTCCGGTCAGGAGCTAAGAAAGCAAGCACGTGGTTCGCCTGCAACCCTCGAAAGACAATGCTAGTGTGTTAGCAAACGAAACTGCTTCTTTCGGCCGAACAATCGTGGCATTACAGCGAGCAAGGAACGTCTACATTTCCTTTTTTGTGGTGCAGGCAGGGAGACGCAATGTTCTCATTCTAGCAAGGAGAAAATAAAATGGGACATCAGGTGGTATTTCGCATTGTCCGCCATTTCAGCCACCGTCATCACATCAGTCGTGAAATTAGGTTTTCTGACGCACGTACTGACGCCACATGCAAACGCAGACAAGCGCTGTGCGAGTCAATATTTGATCTTAGACAGCGCATCTCTCTGTTTTCTTTCTTGTCTCGTATTCTTTCTATCCTGTCTGCTGAAGATTAGTTCAAACAGTGTTACTTTTACTTATTACTTTTAGACAGTGTCGTATACAATTTGTTTTGTAACGCCAACTGTACATTTGTCAAAGTGGTCTTAAGTATGTTTCACGTTATGTATATATGTGCTCCGCATTTGTATTGGATACCATGTAAGAAGCATAGCAAAAACCTGCACAGCTTAGCGGTAAAATAGTGGGTTCAAATACCATTGTGATGGGTGTTTTTACTTGCTCATTTTTCTCGCTTTTCTTGATATTGGTTACGGATACCAGCGGTGGTGTTGGCGGACAACTACAGCGCACGGGACCCTTGTTGCTTTCACTGTAATATTGCACTCTCCTCTTACGTTCTGTGTATCAAACGCTGTTGCTGTATTTAATATTCAAGTTTCATGTACTAATACTGCTGAATAGGCATTGTATTTTAAACATTTTAGTTAAAGTATACAGAGCTGTTAATTTTAAATGTTCTAACTTATTGTGTTCATTATTTGTCAGTTTCCATAATTACCTAGTCGCTAATTAGAGTGGCATTATCTTAAACATGTGGCATGATATTCAAAGCACTTTTCGGCGCAACATTTAGTGTCGGTCACAAGAATAAGTACGTTTGCACGAAACGTGTCCAGAGGCTCAAATACCAGTGTATTAGTTGAAGAGATGTCGCTAGATCGCTGCAATATGACTTTCAGCACGGATAGGGCGTATGAAGAAAAAATGGTAACCACTGTCGAAATTCTCGCAAAAGTAGGGTACTTCAGCGCGGGTGATGGTTCCGGTCACCATCTCGCTATGTGTTCGGAGCTAAATCTGAGATTATCATGTTCTCGTTTATTGGAGGCTTATCACGTTTAAAATGTGAGTCCGCAGAGCGTTGTTGTAGTGCGTATAATACAGTGATCATCTTACTTTGTTGCCTTTGTCTTCTTTATCAATGCAGAGTTATGACTGGCACAACCGAAACATTAGTGTTGAATGACCTGAACTTGATTTGGAAATTTCTGAACAACACTGACTTGCCGCATCGATCG